GAGAATAAAAGTTGACGTAAAATAAGAGACTAAGAAATAACACATGGAGGAAGGAATGAGCAAAAATCTTTGTCAAATCACTTTTATTTGAATTGTTTGATTTGTTTACAAGACGAGGCGCCATAACTTGCTTGTTTTGAAGGCAAGCTGATATTTCTTCCGAATACTTCAAATCTGTTTCCAGAATCAGTTGCATCACTCGATAATCTTGCATTAACATACCACTTCTTCTGGGTCTATGAGGTTCTGTGTTTTATCTTGCCAGCGTAATTTGTTAGTTTTAATTGTTCCAGATTAGTGAAAAACTAGTCGTTCTTAGGATGGAAAACAGATGTTCAGCGTGTACAAGCTCACGCGCCCTTATTCCTCCATGTCTTCGACGCTAGTGTCCAACACTTGGCTCGAATCAAGGAAACGATCAAATTAGCTGAAACTAGAGCTGTTAAACGAGCCGAGTCGAGCTCGAGCATAGGACAATCGAGCTGGCTCGAGCTCGCTCGATTACTAATTCGAGCTTCACAAGGTGCTCGAACTCGACTCGATGTGGTGGTAAAAAACTCGAGCTCTGGCTCGAACTCGAGTTTGAAATCGAGCCGAGCTCGAAACTCGAGCTCGAGCTCGCGAAAAACACTTTCCATTTCCAACCAGTTCGAGGCCCTACAGAATTGAGTAGGATTCCTTCTTGGCAAATGGCTCGGTCTGCCCCGAGTTATTGCCTTCAATCTTTTTCTCTCTTTCTGGACTGTATGCCTATCCTGAGGGGATCAAGTTGAGAAGGAGATGGGGCCTCTACGAGTCCTTTCCTTTCCAGCTTTCCCTTTGCTTCGATCCAAACGGTGCCTTAAGATTTCAGCTCTGTGAAGAATGAGGCTATCAGAGAGACTGGGGATTTCTTCAAGGGTGGTTGCCCCTATCTGATTTTTAGCCTATGATTTCTTTCTTTCATCATCGACCATCTGAAACCAACAGCCCTTCAGATGCAGTTTTCTGCTTATGATTAATCACAGAAACCCCCCATAAAGTTTTTGTACCCGGACCTTTCATAAATAGCACCATTACTACTACTAGTATTGATTCTGCTCACCTTCTCGAGAAGCCTGCTTGTCTGAAGGCTGTGATGATTCTTTAACTTTCAGAGCAAATGGGTCAGTGGATGGCGCCTGGCGGTGAGAATGGCGGCTGCGGGGTGCGGCGTGAGAATGGAGGCTGCGAGGATTGGGATGCGGCTGCGGGGTGACAGCTATGAGACGGGAAAACGAAGGACCAAAAGAGGAAAGGAAGTATTAGGGCTACATGGGAGATGACTTAGTTAGAGTACCACATACACAATGAAATGACGAAAATGTCCCTATCTTTCGAGCCTACCGAGCTTCTACGAGCCTCGGCTCATGTTTTACCCGAGTATTGATTAGAATTCGAGCTCGGCTCGTTTCTCTCTGTAAACGAGCCGAGTCGAGCCCTTATCGAGCCGGGTCGAGCTCGGCTCGCGAGCTGCCCGATTCGATTAACAGCTTTAGCTGAAACACAAGAACCTTCACATCTGGCGCCGACATGAAAAAGGACATTCAAGGATTAATTACCGCGCCTTTCATGGGCAGCTCATTTGATCACGGCATCTTCCTTAAGAGCCGTTGCCCAGTCTCCTGTAAAGGTTCGAGTCCCATGATTAACGTGTTCGGGGGGATGGGGCCTCTCCTCTCGAACCGGTGAGAGATTAGTCGGATCCGATTTACCCGATGGCCCAAATACCCCCTCCATCAGATAAAAAAAAGGATTAATTACCGCACTCCCAAAAGAAGCGCAGCAGATTGTGGTTTGAGGTACCATATCATCATTGCATGGTAAAGAAAATCAAGTCTAAATACGTCATGAATACGAGCTTCAGCAGCCAACACAAAAATGGAGGATGATCTCAGTGGGGCGTATGGAGATATACTGTCGTCTCTGGATTTAGTAATGAAAATCAAACAACAGAAACAGAGAAGCAGCAACCTCAAATTAGCAACCAGTTTTTTTAGATTCTCGGGATTTAATAAGCACCCCACATGTAAATTAATACTGCCGAACTACTTTTTCAGCTTTTTGCTTCCTTTTCCCTGTGCTATGTGCATTACTTTCTCTACCACCCACCTCTTCATCGACATAAATGATACCTTCAGTGTTATCCCTGAAAGAGGACATATCTATTTCATCCTCTTCGAGGAAGTCGTCTCCATCATCCTCTTTATCATCATACTCTGTATCCCCCCAATCATCATCATCATCCATACCAGAGCGCATTGTGTGAAACTCAGGTGGAGGAGGACAATCCTCTGTTTCCGCCTCGTCCCTCTTCATCACAAGATGCCGAATGATTCTTTCATCCTTGTCAAGCATGCTCTTGAAATCGTTTATCAGTTTTGCTTCCAACTCAAAGTTCATCAGGATATAGTGAGCATTCTCTGCCTTTTGTATCTTGTATGCCAATCTCCTCATGCCCCAGTCACTGAATCTCCAAATCCTGCCTTTGTTCTCTTTTATAAATTCTGTATAGCGGCGTTCATGTACAGAACAACAACGTCACAGTTCTTACCGATTCTGTACTTAAAATGCAGTTAAATAAGAAGCAAGGCCGGATAAGAGGGCTACCCATTGATGGTGCTAAAAACATGAAAGAAGAAGGCAGAAAATGTGAACAAAGAAGCAGGAAGATGGCAGTTTGGGCAGAGAAAAAATAAGCAGACAGTAGAAAGTCAGATTGCTCAAATTGGCAAACGGTCACCGGTAGAAGAAAAGAGTATTCCAAATAAAATAGATACCAGTTTCCACAGAAATTCTCCCGAATGGCATGATAAATTCCTCCAGTAGAATTACAAGACAAAACACCAAGTACAGACAGAGTACAAATATCTTTCTATAGAATAAAGCAGAAATTTTATAGATACACTTAAAATAACAGGTAATGTCACCTTGAACTTTAATGTTGACACTCTCAACTTCGTCTTTGCGGTCTTCATGAATTAGATAAACCACTTCATAATGCCGCACTGTGTAAAGGAGGGAAACTTTAAAATCATTGCAAAGCTATTTATTCAACAGCAGATCCAAATCAAAAGGTGGCAACAAACATAAGTTGCAAGATATAATTAGTTCTCTTCTGTAATAACTACTTCACCAGGTATGAAGAAGATGTTCTACAGTAGTAGTGAATAGCACCAACCCAAAACCTCTTTCCATGATAAAAAGACTTCCTTGCTTCATTTCATGGCGAAAAATAATGGAAAGCATTTACAATTTTTTCTTCCAAAATAAAATTGTGCACAATTATTAGTCAATTAATTTTCCATGTAACATAAACAGATTCTGAATGATGAACTGGAATCAAATTCATTTTTCAAGGCAATCATATTAATATTATATAGCTACAATGCCAATAGTCAAAAATTTTCATTTGATTACTGAATGGAGGATAATTATATGACTCATTCTAACTACTATTCACCACTGGAGCATGAATTTGTTTTCCTCTAGAGATCAAAGCTTCTGCCAACTTTTAAAAATCATCCACCAACTTAAAACTAAAGAATTAGTCAGCCAGAGTTAGGATGCAGAAAAGGCTTACTCCGCTCAACATCCAAGTCACTTTCTAGCTCAAGACTCAAAGCCTCAAAAAGTTCCTCTGCAAAATCAACAAAAATTCCCAATAATTTAAACTTTCACATTTAACCAACAAATTTCCTAAATAAAAAACTTCGTTACTTCAACCAAAAGGGCAATTACTCACTCTCTTCAGCATCAGCAAACTCTGGTACAAGCCTACCATCTTCCTCAATTTTCCTCTGTTAAAACAACTTTCACTTTAGTTCAAAATCCAGCACCAAGAAACTAATTCAGTGGATCATCAACACCATGTCCCAAATTTTTTTTTCTTTTAAATGAACTCTTCAACTAAAAGAGAGAAGCTTTACGACCAAATTGACGTCCAAGCTGCAATCTTTTTTCCCTGTTTTCTCTTCAATTCTCTAATGCTGAAAGGGGTTGGGGGGGATGTGGGAGGAAGGGAGATTGGGAGAAGGCACAGACCTCTTTAAGCAGAACAGCTTCGGGAAATGGACCAGTAGCTTCATCTGGCCTTGGAATAAAGCTGTGAGAGTCAGATTTCTTCTTACTTGGATCCCTTTTAGCTGCAACGACGGCTGAGGTTCTCAGCCTCAGAGAGGGTTTACACTGTGAAGACAAAGGCCAGAAGGAAGGGTGCCCATTTGCTGAGATTAAGCAATAATTTCGAGTCTGAGTGAACCCATTACTTTTACAAACGCTTATCATCCGTTCTACAACGTCTGGAGAAGAGTTCAGTAGTAAGGAATCCATCTTGCAGAGTTGCAAGAGGAGTTTCTATCTCAACAGTGGAAAGAAAGATTTAAGAAGGGGAGAATGGGGTTGGTTTGCAAAATTTTGGATAACTTTTGGGGTTTTTTGGTTAATTTCAACATTTTTGTCTAAAATTTTTGCATGGGGTTATGAAACTAATATTCTTGATATTAATTTCACGATGAAAATGATAGTACTTAGTTAGTTGTTGGAACTAATGCTCATTACAATGACAATAATAAGATTACTATGTGCTAATATTAATTATGATTAATCTTATATATATATAAACGATGTATATACTAATCCTATTTATTTTCTCTATCAAAATCTACATTTCCTATTTATTTTCTGTGTCAAAATCTACATCTACATTGCCATACGTTGCCGGTGTCGCAGCACCAAAACATTACATTGGTGATCATCTATTGATTAATGAACTTTTTCGCGTCCATTTACAATTTTTTAAAAAAATTATATCTTATGTGGTTGGGACTGAATTGCTGACAAAGTGATAAGAGAAATATCCTGATACTAGTAAAAGTCGTTTAATCCTATTGCTAGCTCACATTCAGTCCTTTCCTATAAGGATTTGAGCTTTGGTCATTTATTAAGCTTTTTGTGTAAACCCAATTACTTAGACACAGAAAATGAAGAAATGGTACTAACTCCAGAGGGGGAAATGGTCTATTACTTCGGGTGTTCAGCTCTTCACCGCTTGGAATTGGCAAAGAGCCCCGTCTTACAGCATTAGAACTTGGACGAAATACAAGCTCGCTATACATATGCTGTATGATGCATGCTCAACGGGGTTTAGTTCTTCCTCATGTACAATTAATTAGCAGTTAGTTTCCCTGGTCTTTCAAAGGCCATAGTTTAAGGTCCATCAGCAACCTATTCTGGTCATGAAAATGAGACGAGACTTGACAAGAAGTGATTGCAAGCTTGCAACTATTTTCGACCCTTTTTCTTTCTCTTGGCACTGTTACTACTGTTGTTGCCACCACTGCTCTTGGAAGTGTTTCCAGATTGCGCAGAAGGGGACTCGGATGGACCACCAGGAAAACTGTCAAACATGCCCGATTGAACTGCATTTTGTAGCCACTCAAAAAATTCATCCTCTGTCATGGCCTCTTCCATGTTGGGTGTAGGTATCCCACCTCTTTGTCCTGAGCTTGCTCCCCTTCCAGTGCTCTGCTTTGAGGTCATACTCGTATTAACATGGAAGCTTGGCTTGTGAGAATTAGCAGGACATCTCATTCCCTGTAACACAAAAGCAACAGGAGTGATACAGATCTATCTTCACCTTGGAAAGCCAAAAACAAATGAATGATTATCCATGTATACAAAATTCTCATTCAACATAATTGAACTACAATCCTGTCACCCACTCTTAAGAGTGGAATACTAGTGCAGGTGGTACTATAACACCAACCTTTTGCATTTGATCAATAGATAAAATTTTTTTCCCATGGAAATACTAAAAACGTAGAACAAACCCCACAGCTTGGAACGGTATGTCAATTGGAATAAAGAGATACATAAGTCCCCCAGAAATCCAAAGTGCTCTAAAAAATGAGATTTTCACAAAAAGCTATAGTTTTGTGTGAGTTCAGAAGAACAAATGCCATTAATGGGGACAAAAGACATAAACTTTTTCAATATTAGTGTAATTACAATTTGAAATAAAATTGGCTATTTAATAACAACAAAGCGGAAGCATATATCTCTTGCTTATAAGATAGCATTATGCGTGGTTTTAATTATACTTCCTTAATATGGAGAAGCAGCCTAATAAATGAAAGTGAAGTGCTTTCCAGATTTAGCCCTCTTAACATTGTGGTGGCAATGAAGGCAGAGTATCACAAAAAGACTTCTATGACCTTTCCAATTAAAGGTATATAAGGAAAAACATACATTTTTCCTTGCACAAGTATACAGGGAAATCGCCAACACAATGTTTTCCAAGGCCATTCTACGAAATTAATTTAACTTGCACAACAAATCTTTTTCTTTTAGTTTATTTTTGCACATCTAAAATTACTGAACCTTTATAGTACAATATATTAACTTACATCAAGGCCTTATGCACTCTTAACAATTGACTTATATGGCACGCTCCCAAGACTTACAGGAATCTCAGGACCATGTGCTCCTCCGTCTAAAGGAAATTTCACTGATAACCATTGCATGATCAATGCTACTGCTGAGAAAACTTTAATGCTTTAAGCTTGGTGGAGCTAAATTTACCAGACAAAGATACCATTCTGTCGCATTTTATGTCTCTCATAATGATTCCCAGTTCCTAGAATCAAAAGGAAAGAACCTTACCTGACAAATGTACCATTCAGTTGCATCATAAATCTTGCTATCTGCACAAACATATGCAACAGGGGGTTCTACCTGCACATATTTTGGGAAAACAGTAGAAGCTCATCAGACGAAGAAGAGCTCGGTACAATCAAAATTTGATTACCTCTTTCCAACAAAATATAGATCAATGGCCAAAGGACAAAGTTCAGTAAATAATACAGTGATTTCTGGAGATACATGCCTTCTGAAGCATCCCAAATAATAAGGGATGCGAAGACTGTTCAACCCATCCATCTCCATCTTTAGCTTGGTGGAAATCTTTGCATTCCTTTAAGAAAGAAAAAGAAGGAAAAAAAAATAAATACCAGAATTGACATTGAAGTGAGCAAAAACCTCAGCAGTGCACCATCTGCTGTTGACGTAAGGCAAGCTAAGTAGAACCTAGAACGCATATGACATGAAAGAAGGAACAAAACCTGGCACCATCTTGCTCTAGATTTTACTTTCTTAGTGTGAATCCACACATGAAAATTGCCACACTTCCTGCAAGCTATTCGTCTTGACTCCTTAAGTGTGTCCTCTTCATCAGTTTCCCCATGTGCAAAACTTCGGGAAAAGAAACCACGCCTTCTACTCTGAAAAAGCAATACATGAAACTTGATGAAAGTAGAGGAAAGTAGAAATTGCAATTTGAAGAATGACATGCTGAGCCAACACTGCCTAACTCAATTGACACTACAAAAAGCAATCATCTAAAAATACATTAGGTAAAGCGTCCAACTTTCTTAATGTAGTGGCTCTGACAATATCTTGAAATGATCAACCGAGTACCTTCTAACAAGTTCATGAACATAGCACTTGTTAGAATCCTCAATACGAGACTCATTGAAGCTTGTGTTTTTAGTAGACCAATCGAAGCAGGTGAGATCGTTGAGAAAAAAGAGAGAGGTTTTTGAGTCTTAGCATTCCTATTGATCCAGATGAGACAGAAACTGTTCAAGCTTGGACCCTTGAGCACTTGGTATAAAGCATGATCTAAGCCAACTGAAAAAACTTGGATATGTACCCCAGTTCACTAAAAGCTAAAGAATAGCCAGGAAAACAAAGATGGACCACATCAAAGGCAAATGAATTCCATCAGCAACTTTCCCCCAATACTATCATACACAAAAATGGATTTTTCTCCCATGCAGTTAAAGCAAAATAAACAATCACCAAAACAGAAATGTACAAAGAGAAGCATCCAGTACATGAAAAGTCCAAATAAAGAATAGATCTCGGACATTTTTTTCATCATCTTTTACAATTTTATTAGCAAAGGCAAGAAAATTATTTGCATATAATTAGACTGAAAAATGATGTTAAATCATTCCAAGAGGATGGATGGTTGCATGCGAAAGAATGCTAGGGCATTTACAAATTTAACACATATGGAAATGAAATCATTTGCTTCCAAAAAGTACATTATCTGGGTCTGATACCCTGACTTGTACAAAGAAGATACGATTTCATGCCTTCTGAGAAGCTTCTTGAAACTGGCGGAAATAATGTAGCAGTTCCTCCCTCCTCAGCTCATCATCATATGCTTTTCTTTTAAAAGAATCCAATAAAACCTAAGGAAATAAGACCATTACAAACATTAAGGCAGGACATAAGAACAAATAAACAAATAAGAACTCAGAAATGCTGATGGAGAACTAAAAGAAAGAGAGGTTGAACCACCTCATATGCATTTTGTAATTTCTTGAAAGCTTCAGCAGCCTTTTCATTGCCCATGTTTTTATCAGGATGGACCAGCATTGCCTGATCATCAAAGTGCATTCAGCCTATTTGAAATGTTGCTTACTTTATGTACACAACATGATCAAAAACCAAATAAAAGCTTAAAAAGAAAATCCCTAAACTTTACTTCTAAGATTGCTGGCATTGCTTCATTGCAGAATAATTTCAAACAACCATCATATAATATAAAGGAAGAAATGCAGTAATTTTGATTAAACAGAAGGATCAACAGTATAGATATCTATAGCAAACAAAAAGCATCACCAACCTTTTTCCTATATTCCCTCTTAAGAACAGAAACATCAACATTTTCAAACCGAGATAAGCCCAATGCAGCATAGTGATCACTGCAATTCAACAACCTAACAACTTCATCTTCAGATGTTGTCTCAGAATCCAATCCACTAGTTGAAGGAACTCCTGATCTTCGATCAGTGGATGGACCAGCAGCACCTGCTTCAGCAGATGAATTACGCACTTGATCATCAGAAACGAAACCAGATTGACCTGGCACTTCAGCTGTTTGTTCTGCAGCACCAGTAGCCCTTCTTTGCTCGTTGATATTGTTCCTCAGGAAGAATATCAGAACATCACTTGAAATAAATGATATATTCAAACCAAAGAGTAAACCGAGCCACCCAACAGATGCCCATGCACAATATACAGAGTATGACGTTGCAATAAACAGTGCAAGGCGTTCGCGGCCCAATATAAAAGCCAACCCTGCATTTTGAAGAGTCCCCAACATCAATGATAAAAATACAAAGAAGCAGCATTGGTGAAGATCTCAAATATTCTCAAACACATACAGAAGAGTCACCTCCAGAAAGGAGAACAAGCATTGTCGTCCAAAAGCTTCCATAGAACCATAGAAGAACAATGCCAGAAATGGCCATCAATAGAACCGCAATGGTCAACCCAACAAGAAGTCCAGCTATAGCAGCCACAGCCTGGATAAATACAGAAGCAAAACACAACCATGACTAGAAATCAGGTACTTCCGATTTGAAGGGTGGAGGGAAGCAATGAACAATCAGACTGAAGAAAGAAAACAAATAGGAAGTCCTTGTTTTGAAAAAATAGGGATTACAAAGAAATTCACTAATTATTTTGAAATCGCATTTAAATTACAATTTCAAAACAAAGCAGTGTAAGGAATGAATAAAAGCTGCATATAGTCAATCGGCTCTACTTGTAAAACAGCACCTTAAGCACGCTCCACCCTCGAAGGCCCACATGAACAAGGGACTGAAAGGCTATTGGGCATTGTCTAACTTTTACCTCTACACTTTTGATATTCACCACACACCATATATATCCACATCCCCATCCCCTTCTCAAACCCCCTCTTACTCAAAACACAGCTCATGCGTCTCATTCAAGAATTACAATAAAATTTGCTCCGCACACTTCATCTACTAAATGAATGCACAAAAGCACAACCCAACACAGACAATAAAATTGAACTAAATTGAATTGCTACGAGTCATTGCTGCCAAAGAGGGAAACCCCTGTAAATCAAATTTAAGCAATTCAAATCTCCAAGAGACGTACAAGTCACCCAAGCATTTCACCAAGACTGCCATATTTGAGTACTTTATCTTTAATAGCTTTAAGGAACAAGAACTAGTAGGCATAAGAACTAGCAATCATATGAAGGTCAAAGAACTCATGATCAATTCAAAAGTAGGTAAACAGACTGAATAACAAAAATAACCAGATACCATGTGGGGGAAGAAAGGCGATGCACTTTGATAAGGCACAAAATCGGGCTTACCAAGACAATAAGAAACTTGAATATTCCAACCATTGCAGTAACTGACAGAACACTACACCATAAAACAGAGAAAAATGATGTTGTTCCCATTCGCAGAAAGGAATCGATGCCTCTGAGTGTGCAATCCAACCAAACCATAAAAAGTAGGAGCATTATATTCACAAAGTGCATAATCCATTTTAGAACAACAGGGAATGCTTGCTCAATCTTCACTTGAACATAGTGACAGGCCTTTAGTATACTTGCCCTCATAGTGATAAGCAGTGGTCGGTGTCTTTCCATCCATTCAGTTGATGCCTTCAATGTTGACAGGACTAAGCTCCTCAGGCACTTTAATATCAATATATATGAGAACTCTACTTTTTCCATGGTATCATCACCATTGTGCATTCCATTTAATGAGTAAGCAAAACTGCTTTCTGAATTTTTTGTGCTGTGACAAGTATTGGAGGGCACGTCATCTTTTCCCATTGAATGAAGACTTTCAGCAGCTGATACAGTTGTATTGCAATCTCCAGCATCAGTCTCTGGTTTCTCTTCAACTTGTTTTCTATTAACAACTTCTTCCGTTCTTCTAGGAAATTTACGGGATTGCTGCTTCCCCTTGGTTTCAGCTTGTACATGGCATTTATTATCAATGCCCTCTTTTGAATTGACATCAGAGTGGTTTCTTAAAAGTTGTTCCTCATGTAAAACTTTAATTTCACTTGCATTAGCTCTTTCACACTTAGCTGGCAATTCAGATCCGGTACTGGGAACTGGTTTTTTCTGTTGGTTGCCTTTCTTCCGCGCCATCAACTATAATATTAAAGTTGCTAGCTGAAAAGTGAATGATATTAACTCATAATTGGTGAAACCTGTCAAAACAAGATTGAGGACAATCAAAGCCAAGCACACCAAAGATAAGAACAAAGAGAATGAAGTCCTTTAACAACTTGGCCCAGATTCAAGTAGGAAGTTTATGAGATAAGACGAAGTTTAATAAGATTCTCTTCAAATATACCAAGTGTTCGAGTTGAGCACTTTTCTAGACATCTGTCAAAAACAGTGTTTTTAAATCCTTTCACCACAAAAAGTAAGCACTTGCTTGGGATACAAAATATATTACTAAACTTAGAAATTTCAATCAGTTTTCTAACTTGACAAAGAAATGCAGGGGAAACACTCACAAAATACTTGTAGATAGCGGAGCATCTGCATGATTATTTCAAGGTAGTATATAAGAACATCAAATCTTAGTCATCTCACTGTAACAGTATTTGCTGATACAACACAAGTGCCTTACAGGTAGTTTGTATAAAGCATCATGTGGCATATCTTCAGTATTATCCATGCAAGTACTAGCTGAATCAGATTAGGGGAAAAAATTACCAAGACGAACGACTTAGTGAAAAGCATTTGGCGTATGCCCTATGCACTCGGTGCAGGTTAAGCCAAAGCGCAGATGAACCTAATCTAAAGTGGAAACAGCCACATGCCCAACACGAATACAAATGCAGAGGTAAAGAGACTATAACATGACTTCGAATCACATTGCTGTTTAGTTGATTCCGTACCAGACGCACATAAGCCAATGTTAAACACAGGTAATCAAAGTAAGATGCATATATCGAAAAGGGTACAAGAAGAAAACGGAGGTAATCACTTTGTCAACAAAATCCCTAATATTGTACTGAATCGACCGATAGTAGTTTTCATTGGGGTTCTCCCCAAAACTCAATAAAACCGTCGGACAAAGCTCTCAGAAAATCAAGAAATAGCTTAGCAGCAGAAGATGATTGAGTGACTATGAAAGGCAGGATAAATAAAACTAAGCGGCCAAAAGGGCCAGCACCAAAGCCCACAAGAAATCAAATGCTAAAACGCAATCCAAATATCAAAATGAAGCAGCTGAGCGACGTACTGGTGGTCCATATTCCAAGTCCCTATCTTGGTTTTTAGTTTTTGGGTCAGCAGGCGGTGGATGGTTAGCTCTGGTGTGGGAGGAAGAAGGGTCCTCAGGGGAGGGATTGGGTGCGGGGGGAGGACACAACAACTGGACTTTGGACTATTATGTCAGCAGGGGAGGCTGGCTGATGAGTCCTTTGTGTCAGCAAGAAGGCAGGCAAAGCCGAGAGAGAGAGAGAGAGAGAGAGAGGAAACAAAGACAAAAAGCTTTGGAGTTTTGATCAAAAATAGGGCTTTTGGTTAATTTTGGACCTCTCAACCTCGCGTCTGGTGTCACCCTCTGCCCCTCTGCTATAGTCTCTACTACACTCTCTTTCGAGCCCTCGCTGCCCTTAGAAATGCTCTTTTCTCTTTTTTTTTTTTTTTTTGCCCTTTTGTCCTCTTTCTTTCTAACCACTTACCTGAGTGTCAAAATACATCAAACGTACGAGATGAGATTAATCTCATGTAGTTTGACAAGTAAATTTTAACTCCAAAATGAAATGACGTGACATACATCAAGATCTTCCATCTTCTATTGTATATATTGATCGATCAACAACATATAAAAGAAAGATTTTGATCAGCGAAAAATTATTAAACATTCAAATTTCACATCGTGTTTTATAAATTTGAGTTTTGTTCAAAACAATTTACTCTTTTTCACAAAAAATATATACATATCTTGCTAGTAATAGTATCCCTTTTTTGTTTTATTGGGTTAATCTCGCCTTTTGTCATTTGGCATAAGTGCATAACTAACCATCCAGTTGTACCTAGCAATTTCAACACTGAAATTCTTGATCCAAACGCGACAGATGAGTGGTTTAGTTTTATTATTGTAGCCTAGCATCTTAATCGCTGGTTACCAGTTAAGTAAAAGTTTTGAACCACTCGCTCAATTATCTAATGGATTGAGCGCAGATGTTCCAGAGATGCTTTCAACTGGAATACATTGAACGAATTGAAGTAGTATTTGTTATTTGCGAGTTCATTTTCAATACTGTCTTATATGGGTCGCTGCCTTCCTTTCATCTTTAGTCTAGTATGTTGTACTTGAAACTTGAAAGAAGAAAGGGTAGCAAAACTGAAAAGTTGTCTCCAGTGAGATGGGAAAATTGAAGCATGCAGATACATGATGATGGTGGATCCAAGACAAATTTAGTCGAATTAACAGAGTGGACATTTTCAAAATAAAAAAGAAACCAAATTAGCAATGGCTTTTTCACAGCAGAAACATTTAGTTGCATTTTATTCTTGATTAGTTCTGACTTCTGAGAACAATCATGAAGTCGTTAAAAAGGAAAAACAACAGGAACGACAACAGTAGTTAAGCATGAAACCGTAGACATGCAATCCATCCTCAGCCAAAGCCATGGAATAGATAGGCAACACTTCTTTCCTCAGCAAATCAATTTCTAAACGAAGAACTGTTGCACTTGATGCCGGCATTTCATATCGAGTGTCCTGAATGCAACGCATTGGTGCTTTCACAGTAAACCAGCAGCCCAGATCCAGAACATACATCACAATGAGTCCAATACAAAGACCAGTTTCACTACAACATCCTGATGTGATGTTAAATTTCGCACACTATTTATGCTTTAGACGCACCGCAAAGACTCTCATCCTTAGCTACAACCACAAACTGCATGCATCTTTTTCCTGTCGAACTCTTTCCAACAAAGCCAGAAACGACTTCTTTATCACTATCAGCCCACCAGAGCATACGGCAACATCAAACACTTGGAAAGTGCACAAAACAACTGATAAGCTGACCAATTAATTTTCTTTATGCGTCTGAAGCAGCTTTACCGACACATTAATATGTAAACTTCTATTAACTAGTCAGTCAGCTGGCTGAACACTGCACAAGGAAATGATGACTTGATGGCCCAAAAGCAGCTCAATATTGAGAACTTGAGTAGTATGTAGTCGATTCAATTCCCATCAACCATGAAAGAAAGACCAATTAGAAAAAAAAAATTATATTACAGGCTGGAGCAAGCAAATGAAAAGAGATTTAAATACTCGAATGTGACAATAGGTCGCGACAGTTGACTGGTCATACAAGTGATGAGAGGCTTGAACAACAGGAAACCAGACCCAACAGCAGAATTGGAGTTGCCAAACCAGGTAGGGGATTGGAAATAATCATCAACCAACTGATCATACTGCAGGTAAAACAAAAACCAATTAAGATGATAGTTCATCTAAGACACGTCCATGAACCATACAACAAAAGCTAGTTGCATTCTTTTATTTGCTTAACAGAAGCCCATTAATAGACCAAATGGGGCACTATATACAATAGTTCTCTGCAAGCAAATAAGCAGCCACATGCACGCCTTAATGGCACGAAAAAATAGTGCTTCTAAAGGCATGAGCAGAGAACCATAATGGCAGTGTGGAGCTGTTCTTCACAGAGTACATCTCCTTCCACACTTTGTTCTTGAGCTGGTAGACCAAAACCTGCTTATGTGTTGCCAAAAAAACATATTCACCCGTCTGACTTATTGGAAAAATGCCTGGAACCATCCCTCTGATACATCGGAGACTGACTTTATCAACCATATGCCATTCTTCCCTCTCATAGTCTTTCATTACCCAGATATTCATCCAAGCCTCTGATATTTGAATCACAGACAAGCATCCTTCTGACTCCAACAAGTAGACACGGTTCCCAACAGCGCAATTCACCTCATTTGGCAATAAAATTCTCCTCCACATGTCACATTCCAAATCCAAAACGAGCAAACAAGTGCAACTCCCCGTCAACCAGTGCAAGGAGCCATTAATAAACACAACCTGATTCCTATTCATATGCGTAAAATGATCATCTTGCAAAGAAACAAACTTTCTCCACTTATTTGACTCCGAATCATAGACCAAACAAATAAAAGTCCTTTCGGGTCTGTGTCCAAAAGGTCGATGATAACCCGCCAACACAACATTATAGTTATGTGTCAGCAAATTGCAAGCTAAGCCAACAAGCGTAGCTTCACCATCTGGGTAAAATCTAGTAACAGGCCTTTCCCTACTCCTGGGAAGCATTTTATATTCTCTAGTCATTGGATTACAGACATAATAAACCCCTTTATCAGGTATACTAGAGCAACACAACAAACCATTACAAGATGCTCTAACCTTGACTCTAGCCTTGATAAAATCCAAGGAAAACTCATAAACGCCTCTTAAATTATCGACACAAATCAAACTTGATCTTGATTCTGACGAGGTATCAGTGACCTCCACAAGTACCATAGGGTTTCTGATAGAAAGTTCATTGTGAACATGCCGAAAATAATCACCAGAGGCTAATTGATACCACAATTTGCACACGCACTTGATCCTAGTAAGGGCTTTTACAGGCAATCTTGCAAGAATTTGGAGGATTACATCATCCGGGAAAAAATCCAATCTTTGATTTGATTGATCCATGATTCTAAATGACTTGGAAGCTAGGAACAAAATACAAGAAAGGGCGAATGAAAATCTTACCCAAATGCTTGCATCTTGAAAGTGGGCAATCTATCAAGCCTTATTGCAGCAGATAGAAAAGAAAGTGAAGGCACGATAACAGGATTGTTGGTGCAAAAGCCTTAAAATGGCAGTAAAAGGCAAGAAGGAAGGAAAAAAAAACTCGGTAGAAACACAAATTATGCCAATCAAAATGCTACCGGCAGTAGCCAGGGTTATTAGAGTTTTTCCACCCGCTGCCACGTCCTGGATTAGAAATACCGAAGCAGTTGGGGATAGAACAGCGGTGGCGAAACCTCAAGGAGGTCGGAGGTTTCTGAAAATTTTACTTAGCTCCTCTCAGGTTTAAAAAATTACACTTACCTCTCCTTACATAGTAAAATTCCTATAATACCTTCTACTTGGTAAACAATTTTAAAATTACGGCAATAAATTTACAAAATCCAAAAGAAAATCTATTTTTCTCTCTTTTGTCTACTTTCGTTCCTCTCTTTTCTAGTTAATATAACCTTTTTTTATTATCTTTAGTTTTGTGGATATTATTAAATTAAAATTACAAAATCAACAGAGGGAGCAGATTATGTGTCAAATTAGAAGGAAATGAAGAGACTCGTAGTGATAGAAAAATAAGTAATGAAATTGATGGTTGAAATAGAAAAAAGAACTAAAGATGTGAAATTTGTTATATTTTGTTTGTTATCAAGAAAATTTTTTATAAAATATCAATAAGTATATAAGGATTTTTTTCATTGGATTAAAAATTTTTTATTATGAATTTATTGTAGAGGTAGAATTTATTCTCTACTTTTGATATATTAATATTTTTAAGGTCATAAGAAGGTTGTAATGGTGGTTCTAAATCGAATTAACTTGCATTAAAAGATATTTGAGCATTGATATTTAATTTTTGGGGTATAAAATCAGTTGTCAATGGGTTTGTCAGTGTTTTTTTTTCTTATTTTTATGTGACAAGTATTGATACTGTATATACAATTTGGGATCTTTTAAATAGCTACTTGTTTTTAGAATTTACACTTGGATGGTTGTTATGGATTAGATTTGTTGATTTGAGTAAAATGTGAAAAAAAAGATTGAATATACTATATTTTTCTTTCTTAATTTTGTACAAAAGGGTAATTTAAGATTTTTGTGTGAAAATCTATTTTGTTGGACCTATATTGTTACTAAATAGTAAAAATAGGGAAGGTATATATAATTTTTACAACCTGATGAGAGCTCTTTGTAATTGTTAAAAATCTTAGGGGAGGTTTGTGAAATTATCCCAAATAAAAACTATGCCCGTCAAACATTATTGAGAAAATTATTTTATATTTTAGAACTTAGAAAGAAGCTTTTGTCATTAATTCATTATAATTATTGCTGTTGTTGTTTATTTAAACGAAATGGAAATGAGATTTTGAGTGGACGGCTGCGATTAAGCACCTATGAGTCTTGAGCCTTAATATGGATACTAAGATTTTTTTTTTCTTTGGGGAATGGAGACTCAGAATTACTTAACTTTGGCACGGTTTGTTTTGAGAGAATAGGAAAGAAAGGAAAGAAAATAGTAGGATAACGTTTTTTTATGTTTGGATTGATTTTTTAGGAAAGAAAGGGAGGGATAATGTTTTTTCTTTTTTCCGATAAGCATGATTTAGGTCTAAATAAAAATGGATAAAAACGAAAGGAAAGGAAACTAAAATTAACTAAAATCTTAAAACTTTCTTAAAAAGTTCTGTGTGCTCATCAATTAAAATTCTAATGCTCAAGACGAGCTGAATGGAATGTATCTTTGGTCTATTTGACTCAAGCTCGATTTGGACTCGGTGTTGATTAAG